AAATTCCTTATTTGTATTTCTATATCGTCATAAAGCTTCCTCAAAGAAGCCGTATTTCCCGGAATATTTTACAGATTCTAAACTCAACAATTTATTCATATGCGCATTAATTAGCAGGTCATCTCTGCCGAAACGGTTTTTTAGTATATCAACAGCCACCGTATAGTTTTCACTAGTAAATGTTAATCCACTAATAGCATTTAAAGCTAAACCTCCCAAAAGCGATTTTAAAATAACAAAACTTGTCAACCGAACTGAGACTTTCGTTTTGGTGAATGGAATTACTAAAACTGATTCCAAAATTCAAGCCAAGAACAAGGATCACCGTAATATTTTGTAATCGTTAATTTTGGCAATTTTAAAGTATTAACTTCACAAGTTTTCAACTTCGGAGATATAGTTTTCCTCACTAGAATTTCTAGATTCAACTTTAACACGCGTTTTTTTTTCTTAATTTTTCCTGAATTTTACATTTAAAACTTATAATTCTTCCTGATATTCCTGCGCGGAAATTAACTTCTGTTTCCAACTCCTGTTCCGTAATTATATAAGTTTTTCAATCTCAGAATCGTATTGTTTCAACAACTGCGATTTTTCAAGTAACATTTCGAGTAATTCTTTTAATTTCTCATCCGCGGTTTCACCCTCTTCTAACAATGCAGATTCTATTTTACTCATCAACTTAGTAGTTAAGCTACGCGTCACCGTACGCAACTTCTTTGCCTTATTCATAGCCTCCATTTTACCATTAGATTCTATCAACTATAATAATCACCAAGATTTTTATTCAACAATTCTATTCAAAACTGGAAAAATGGAAAAGGGCCTACCTCGAATTTCTTCTCATTAAATCCTGGCTTTTCAGTCATGAACTCACTAATTTTCTTCGTCCATTCTTCATCTCCACAAATCATGTCCGAGTCACCAGAAAAAATGTGTACGTATCCAAATGATCAGAAAGTTGTTGATGCTTGTTCCTTGATCTATTGTACCAAGATATTTTACTGTACATTTATTTACAATTTATTTTAAGTCGTATGCGACCTGGCATATTTACAAGCGTTATGCCTCCTGGCATGTACATAATAGGCATATTCTGCCACCTGGCATTTGAATTGATACATCATACTAGTTTTCTGCCACCTGACAGATACGATGCAATTACCTCAATTAGCGGTAATACGCCCGACATTTTGGCGTGTCCGCTTCCCTTACGTTCTGTTACGCAACTAACTTTTTGTGCGGTGCGCCCTCTGGGCACAAATCACCGCAATCACCGAGGAGGCCAAAACAGGGACACTCTTCCCGAAAATATATTAGAACTGTTTAATTCTGATACCGATGAATCAGACTTTGAAGGTTTCCGTGAATGTAGTAGAATGTGTGATTAATTAATATATTTAAACTGATGATCTATAATCCGGAAAAACCTCAAGTTTCTAAACTCAAGATATCTTGTGATACTCAAGTTTCTAAACGCAAGATATCTTAAAGGTAAACATTTCAGATTTTTTTTTTTCGTGACTGCAGACTTTATAAAACATAACATCAAAAACAACTTTCTTTTTTGGGATATGAATTCTTTTGTTAGATGGTGCTAAATTTGCCAACTTATTAATATTTATAAATATATCATTGATAAATATCATTGAAATAATGATACTATTTTGGAATTGTATTTAAGAAATAGTATTGAAATAAAAAGTTTTTATTTTTGCCTGTCATATTTTAATATGACTTAACTTTCTATTTTGAAGGCTTAGGAATATTTTTTTTCTGAAAAATAAACAAGATGGTAAATGCTGTAAAGCATAGTTTTCCAAATACTTTTTAGCAAAAGCAAAAAAGGGGTACAGTAATTGTATAAAAATTAAATTCATCCTTTGTCTCCTGTATTTTTTCAAGGTAAGAGTTTTTTTCCCTGTATAATTATATGAGAATATTCAAATGTATATCAGTTTTCTATGTTAAATTCACTTGACACATATCTTTCCTGAATTCTCTTTCAAAAGTCTTCTTGCCTTTTGCTGTTATATCTTTTCTATCTTAGGCCATGTATCCTAGAGGTTGAGAAGGATTTGAAGGCAAGATTTATAGACCAACGATTTGAAAAAATTTCAGAAAGATGTCTTCGTGGTATTAACACACAATGAACATTTTTTTTGAGGGGGGGGGAACTTTTGGAAGAGCGGGAAAACAAAATCATTTGAATTTTCTTCTTTCAGTGCAAGAAGTCTTTCTCTTAACATGTTTTTTCCCCCCATGTATTTTCTCTCTTTCTCTCTCTCTCTCTTTTTTTTTATTACGCACAAACATGGAAAATAGCAAAAATTGTTCTAATCTTTTTGCATGTACCTGGATCTGTATAAGGGAATTTTTCTATTAATAAAGATATTGAAAACTGACAGTTTGAAAGTTTCATCTGGTATATCTCAGTACACCATACACAGGGCTGGCACTAGGCATTTTGCTGCTTGTTGCAACATATGTGGGCCCTAAATTTTGAAAATTTTACCATCTGTAAATTTTGTTGCTTAGTGTTTCACTAAATTCTAAAAATTCTGCCACCCTGACTATATTGTTGTATTGTAATTCTAAAGACATCTTATTAAAAATAATATAAAATTAGCAGTTACTTTGCATTTCAAATACAAACTGGTTTTTTAGAATAATAGAAACCTTTAATTAAATCTGAAAATTGTAAAATAAAGAGAAAACGTTTTGGGGAAAAAATTACTTTCATAAAAAGAAAGAAAATTGTTCTTCAAAGGTATATTATTGAAACAGTAGTAAATTAGGAAATGAAAGAAAGACTGCTTTTGGAACATTACTTTGTTTATTGAAGCATTTAAATATAGAAAAGTATGTTAAATAGAAGGAAATTAATATAAATTAACCAAAATATCTGGAAAATTTTCAAATTAAAAAGAAGCATGAATATTTTGTTTTGTGTATGGTTTGTAATTTTTAACCTGTAATAATCCTATTATTGCTTTAGAATCAGTGTCATAAATTATATCCATAATTATCCATTATTTTAAATGTTCTTAGATTATGATATTAATAATGCATTTTGTGAATATTTTTTATATAAATAAAAGAATTTTAATAATGATAATATAATCTGTCACAACTAAGGTTATCTAATTTAATTATTTGTAACTAACTACTTTCCCTTAGAATTTACCCTCTATGTTGTAAGGCAAGTTACTGCCTTTCCTTGATCCATACCATCCACGTAAGATACAACACAAAATTGTAAAAATTAACATAGAATTTTAATTTTTTACGGCTAATGAGGCTTAAGGTAATACAAAACAACTTCAATGGCCTATTGAAACTTTACAGTATATCAACTGGGTTACAGCACCACAACTATACACAGCTACAACACTAATTGGCTCATACACAGAGAAAACTAACTTTTACCATTTACCAATCATGACAATGTTGTCAGCGGCTTTTCCCCTCAAGAAGGCAAGCAACCAAGCTTATGTTACAAACTGTAGTAATTATGATTTCTGATTTTAACCAGTGCCACTTGACATAAAATCTGCATAAACTTCTAGACTTAGCAATAACACAGTGAAACAAGACATAAACAAAAGAATCAATATAAAACTATTAGTAAAATATAAATAAAATGTCACTAATCTTCTTTAAAATATTTAGGAGTATTAGTATAAAATATAAATGTGTAAAAAATAATATAATTTAATGCTAATTATTTGATAAATCTTATAAATTTATTTTTTTTATCGAATTGGTTTTATAAAACCAGTTGAGAATATATTAGGTTATATATTAAGTATATTAAATATTAGGTTATGCTAATGCATCCTGCTTACAGATCTGTTTTATTCTGAGAATGGTATTACTGAAGTTTGGATGTAGATAATTGCATTAATTTATTTATTTTCCATTCGCTGATAGGTCCTTAATTTTTTTTGCACTGATGATTGTTAAAAATACATAATTTCTATGTGCAGAAGTGTGTACAAACCTTGAGGAAGTTCAGAGATATTTTATAGATTCAGATGTTGTACTAAGCCTGACATTTTAATCAATTGTTGTTCTACACTTAGCATACAGAAGTCTGTTTGTTTTGCTTTGTTCCTCCTTTTTCATAGATACCTGTTTTCAGTAATAACACTGCTATTTCTGCAACATCTTATATGAGGCTTCATTTTTGGTGTAGTCTACCAACTATTATTTTATAATATTTATGAAAGCTGATGATTTTTGTGTTGGGAATAATTTATGGTTTAGTATTTGTCATGTTGAAGTAACTTAAAGCTAACTACCTGTCTGTCATGATTTTTAAAAAAATTGCTGTTTATAGCTAATTATACAGTATACATTTCTTTTCTATCATGTGACAGAAATCATATATGAACCCTCTTTGATTCTGTATAGAGTGTCATGTCAGACAGCCATGACTTTGAACATTCATAATCCTAGCTGCAATGCAAATTATGCAGCCTACTACATGAACTTCTACAACTGTTGATGAAAGATCTTGCTATTCTGGCAATAAAATCTTTCATTATTAAAAATAGGTCCCATCTCATTCTGTTCATTTCTGTGAAAACCACATAGCACTACTGAGTACAGTATTCAAATTGTTGGATTTTTACTTTTTCTCGTACTTTTAGATCATGTACTATGTCCTCTCATTTGCATGATTATTATTGGTAATTCATTCATTACAGATTTGATATTTTTTCCTCTTCTCTTTTATATCTTTTTAAATGCTTCTTTGAAATTAATGTATTTATTTATAAAAAGTTATAAATCATGATATTTAAAGAAATAAAAGATTGACTGTTAGAAGTTCTTCAACTGGGTGTAAAAAAAGGGTTTGAATTTTATATATATGGATATATCAGAGCATATTTATTTTTTTTTTTTTTTACTTTGCCAAATAGAATTAGACTTTTTAACACATCATGTATTTCCTTTTTAAGGCATTTTATAATTTCTTTTTCATTTTTTTGAAGGCTTTCAGCAGGAGATTCGGCCATCAAAGAAGGTTTCATTGGATGCTTCAGAGGACTTGTGATCAATGATGTTGTAGTGGACTTATACAAGCATATGACTAGAAGGTAAGATTTTAATTAACAGTTTCTCTCCCCCTGAACATTCTGCATTTCATTTGACTTTATCTGTTTAGATAAAATTTATTACTAAAAATGAATAAATATATAAGTGTTCAGTTTTTTTAATTTGAAAGTGGCCCAGCTTTGCATTTTTTGAAGAGTTGAGCTATGTAAGAAGCCATTTTTTATTTGATGAGTTTATAATATAAGTAATGATTATTTATAATTATGGATCTCAATTATGTGCTTTAGGCATTTCTGCAATTTTCAAAGAATATGGTAGAAATAAACCAAAATTTTTATCTGAAAGGTAAAAAGGATTTGTAGACAAAGAATCTTTGGAAGTGTATGACCTTTCATATTAGAAATATTATTTTCTATAAACTAAAGCTTTATTTCATTATGTTTCACAATCTTTAGTGTAAAGAAAAAGAGCTAGCATTTATAAAACATAATTATTTGTTAAAAACTTCTATGTGTTATGCATATTTTGAGTGTGACTTCTAAGAGTCCCAATACAGTCAAAAGTCGTTAATCCGGACTCGTCGGGACTTCGGCGATTCCGGATTATCGATTTTTCCGGATTATAGATCATCAGTTTAAATCTCGTAAGATGGCATGCAGAAATTCTAAAATTAAAAATATGAAACCGTAATTTATGAAATAAAGAACAATTATGATCTAAAGGGTATCAAAATTTACAAAAAAAAAAAAAAAAAAAAGCTTAATATTTATTTGTTTACTTTATTAAACATTTCTTTTAATGTAAGTTGTTTCAGTTGCTTCATTTTATGTGATAATACTTTCTCTTTAATTCTATAAACAGACATAATTTCTTGTTCAGTTACAAAGTCCCGCTGTTCAAGTCCCGTTAATTGCCAAGAATACCGACTAACTTGTCAATCGAAATTTTTTCATTTTCACTAACCTCTCTGTCACATTCTTCATGTCTTTATCCATTTTTTGCAGCAATTCCACTTTTTGTTTGTTGGACATCGAAACATACTTTCGTTTTGTAGATCCTTTGGAAGTTCCAGCATCGGAAATTCTATTTGACATAATTAAAAGTTCAAGTTTAATTTTATAAAATTGCTCTTACAGTCTGCAAAAAATAATAAGACGGATCCAATTCGAAGATTAAGTAACAACGCAATCATTAACATTAACTGAAATAGATAATTAGATAATTTTAGCTTATACCATCCGTTATACATTAAACGCGCAGGCGAAAACGTATTCTGCACTTGCGCACACGCATATGTGCAGTAGTCAAGGTCTTACGCGCACGCGAAAAACGCCTGTGCGCATGTGCCAACGCGGCGCATGCGCAGAAAGTTTTTAGCGTTGAGGTCCGGATTATAGATCATTCCGGATTATGGGTGTCCGAATTAACGACTTTTGACTGTATTACAAAGAGCTTCACAACCATCAAGTGAAGATTTTATAAATATGTAATAAAAAAATGTTTTAGTTAAATTTCTCAAAGAGATATTAATTTTTTGAATTGAAATGGTTACATTCACATATTTCTTCTTCCAACCTGTAAAATAAAGCACATTATATTTTGCTGAGATGAGCTAAAAAGGGTAAAAACTACATGAATACTCTTTCTCGTTATCAGAAATACTGCTATTCCTGAGTTCAACTCCAAATTTATTTAAGGGATGCATTCAAAATGATATGTAAAACTGAAAATTAAGTATATTTTACTTTTGTATACAGTAAAGAAGCATTTAAATGTAAGGTTTATTACACAGTATGTTAATTAAATAATGAGACTGTAGTTGTTTTTAATCCATGTAAAGCTGTATTACATTTCAAAAAGTCATATCGCTTGTCCACACAAGAATTTTAACATTTTATGTTATTTGCTCAAAATCTGTAGAGAATCTTTAGATGGAAGTATGTATATCTTTTATTTTTATGTAAGAAATATGGGATAAATCTTCCCTGTGTTTTTTTTTAATTTTATCTAAAACATTAGGTCATAGTCTAGCAGGTAAAAGAGTTTAGCATTATTAAAGTTTAAAAAAATGCAAACCTGAAACAGCTGTAAGCTTAACAATACAACAGGTTTACTATTTTAACTATTGTTCCTCTGGAAGTTAAAGTATAAATATAAAATCTTGTCTGTTATATGGGCAATTTAAAATGGCAATGCTAAATGTATGAAAAGAATTGTTATACATTTATTTCATCATAAATGAATGTCATGTAATGCACTTATTTAATAAAGAAAGACTTAATTATTCAAAGTGTAATTTTATATTTTAGCAATGATTTGCTTGAACAGGAGGCTTACAACAAATATTTTTCTCAAGTGGTAATACTTTTTATTAGGATAGGAAATCCAAGAACTGTAAATAACAAGAACCTCAAAGGTGCAGAGTTAAAAATTTTGTCTGTAGGGCGATCTGAAAAGAGAAGGGAGAAAAAGTTGAGAACCAGTAAATACAAATTTAGAATTGCAGCGAAAGTGAAGAAGTCTAGGTCAAATGGCCAAAATATTATTTATATAAATATTATAATGAAAGGAATATATTTTACTGCTAAGGCACAATTATTCCTTTGCCTTTTTTACTAATAGTATTGTTGCATATGTTGTTGGGTTTGTAATAGATTGAATCTACACAGAACCAATTGTAGCTTGATAAAATTTATTTTACAAAAGGAACACTTCACAATTCTGGAATTTTTCACAAAAATATTTGTACAGATCTTCTCAGTATTACAGAGTACAGTCAATAACTACGCCTCAAATTACTAAGAATGTTAAACACAATGCAAAGCAAAGTGCACCTAAAAAGGTGAAGCTTTTACGGAGGTGTCTCTGCACTCTAAACTCGCACTGAACTAAAGAAGTCTGAAACTGTTGCTCTCTCAGTCTTACATAGTTTTCTCCCCGCCACTAAAAAATCTCTAGTACTTTTCCCTCCTCGTAATTGAACTTGAGCCATATGGCTTCTTTAGTAGCTGCAGAAAGAGCCATATATTCGGCTTCTGTTGTACTAGTTGCAATGGTTGGTTGACGCTTACTACACCATGACACTGCACCACCTCCGATGAGGAAAACATATCCAGTGGTTGATCGTCGATCCCCAGCATCACCTCCATAGTTTGAGTCGCTGTAACCAAGGACATCAGCACTACGGTCCTTTGAAAAAGACAATGTAGCATCTGTAGTGGCTCGAAGATACCGCATGATGCGCTTGACAGCATTCCAGTGAACCCTTGCCGGATTATTGGAGAACTGGCTAAGGAAATTCACAGCATAAGTTATATCTGGCCGTGTTGCTTGAGCTGCATAAAGAAGACTCCCAATGGCAGCCTGATAAGGAACAGGTAGCTTTTGTTCCTTACTAGTTGGTATCTGCAGTTTAGATAACACTTGATTTTGGTCTAATGGTGTTTTTACACCATGAGATTCATGCATATTATATTTGCAAAGCATACTCTCTACATACTGTGTTTGACTAAGGCTAATGGACCCTTTAGTTCTATCTCGTTCAATTTTAATTCCTAAGCAATAATTTGCTGGTCCCAAGTCTTTCATTTCAAATTTTTCTTTAAGTTGTTGTGTTTTACCCAATTTTTAAGTTCTATGTTATTACTAAAAATGAGTAAGTCATCAACATAAATAGTAACAATAACAAGATCTTTATTTTCATTTATTTTAATATAGACACAACTATCAAAAGAACTTTGCCTCAGTCCCATTTCTATTAAACCCTTTTCTAACAGTTGGTACCATAGTCTACCACTCTGCTTTAAACCATCTAATGCTTTGTTTAATTTTAGGACCTTTCCCTTTAAGTTTTGCTTGTAAAATTCACTGAAACCGTCTGGAATTTTCATATAAATGTCTTCATTTAGAGTTCCCTGTACAAAAGCCATTACAGCATCCATTTGGTCAATTTCCCAATCATATATAGCTGCATAAGCTAATAAAACTCTTAATGTTACGTATCGGACAACTGGTGCAAATGTTTCAGTATAATCTATTCCCTCAATCTGAGAATAGCCCTTAGCAACTAAACGTGTTTTATATCTTTCAATCTTGCCTACTGAATTACATTTAATTTTGAAAACCCATTTACAATCTACAATGTTCTTATCATAAGGTTTATCTGTTATTTCCCATGTTTTGTTTTTAATATGGCCTAATATAGTCTCCCATATAGAATCCTTCCAATGGTTTGCATCATTGCCCCTTAATGCTTCATCAATGGTTTTCGGTTCAGAATATACACACCATTTGTTGCTGCTGCCATAAGCTTTAACAAAGCACATTCGATCTAAATTTGGCATTGGCATTTCTGGCATCCCGTGTGTGTCATAAGTCCGTATAACTATTTGGGAATCTAAGTTTTCTGTTTCTAGTCAATGTAGGTAGCTCATCAACTACACTACTGTTATCATGGCTATCATTTTGAGCAGTATTATGTTCATCGTGATTAGATTTAACACTAGCATTAACTAATTCATGATCAGACTGAGTATTATCATTAACCATCCCTTCCAATTCACCGTTCTGATCATCAGCTATTGCATTCTCAGTATCTGAAAATGTCATAATCACGCTCCCACTGAATGAGGATTCATCATAGAATTTTGGCATATTACTTGCCTTTTTGTAGTACATTTCATTTTCCAAAAATTGTACATCTCGTGCATTTATTATTTCATAAGTTTTGGGATCTATTAATCGATAGCCTTTTCTATCCTGACAGTACCCAACAAGCATTAATTCCTTTGCTTTTATATCCCACTTTTTACGTTTTTGTTTTGGAATGTGAGCAAATGCACGACATCCAAACACTCTCAAGTATTCTAAATTTGGCTTATCAATACATTTTTCATAAGAGGTCATATCTGCAACTGCAATAGTTAGAGATATATATTTACAGTGATTTGCAGTTTGCACTGCTTCAGCCCAATAATTTTGATTAAGGTGAGCATCCACCAACATTGATCATGCTCGCTCAACAAGAGTTCTGTTATTACGT